GTATGTTGAAATATCATAGTAGAGTTTGTCAAATAGATGTCATAGTTTGGTATGACAAGAATCACATAGTATAGTATGTTAAAAAAAATCATTGTATAGTATAGTAAAAATATCACCCTATAGTATGATATAAATGTCAGAGTATGTTATGATCAAAGCATCATAGGCTAGTATGATAAAAGAAATGTGTTAGTGTAGTATGATACAAAAAAGTCATTGTATAGAATGATAAAAAAAATCATAGTATATTCAGTAAAAAGTGTCATAGTGTAGTATATTGAAAATCGCAGAGTATAGTATCTTAGAAATCATTGTAAAGTTTGTTTATAATCACATACTATAGTACGTTTAAAAAAACAGTATATTTCTATATATCATTATATTATATCATTATATTATATCATATGATCAAAAATGTCTTTATATTGTATGTTAAAAATGTCATAGCATAGTATAATAAATGACATGATTAAGTATGTATAAATTGACATAGTATAGTATGTTAATTGGTCATAGTATAGTATAGTGAAAATATCATAGTATAGTATGTTAAAAATATAATATTATAGTATAGTAAATAAATGTCATAGTATAGTATGTTAAAAATCACATAATATAGTATGTCAAAAAACATTGTATAGTATAGTAAAAATGTCATAGTATAATATGATAAAAATGTCATAGTATAGTATGATCAAAAATGTCATTGTATAGTATGTGAAAAATGTCATAGCATAGTATGATAAAGGACATAATTTAGTACATATAAATTGTCATAGTATAGTATAATGAAAATATCATAGTATCGTTTGTTTAAAATGTAATATTATAGTACACTAAATAAATGTCATAGTATAGTATAGTAAAAATATCATAGTATAGTATGTGAAAAAAACATTGTGGAGTATAGTTAAAATGTCATAGTATAGTATGATAAAATGTCATAGTATATTATGATCAAAAATGTCATAGTATAGTGTGATATAAAATGTCATACTTAAGTATGTTAAAAAAAGTCTTAGTATAGTATGATAAAATAATGTCTTAGTACAGTGTAATAAAAAAGTCATCTTGTAAAATGGATAAACATGCCATAGTTTAGTATGTTGAAATATCATAGTAGAGTTTGTCAAATAGATGTCATAGTTTGGTATGACAAGAATCACATAGTATAGTACGTTAAAAAAATCATTGTATAGTATAGTAAAAATATCACCCTATAGTATGATATAAATGTCGAAGTATGTTATGATCAAAGCATCATAGGCTAGTATGATAAAAGAAATGTGTTAGTGTAGTATGATACAAAAAAGTCATTGTATAGAATGATAAAAAAAATCATAGTATATTCAGTAAAAATTGTCATAGTGTAGTATATTAAAAATCGCAGAGTAAAGTATCTAAGAAATCATTGTAAAGTTTGTTTAAAATCACATAGTATAGTACGTTTAAAAAACCAGTATATTTCTATATATCATTATATTATATCATTATATTATATCATATGATCAAAAATGTCTTTGTATTGTATGTTAAAAATGTCATAGCATAGTATAATAAATGACATGATTAAGTATGTATAAATTGACATAGTATAGTATGTTAATTGGTCATAGTATAGTATAGTGAAAATATCATAGTATAGTATGTTAAAAATATAATATTATAGTATAGTAAATAAATGTCATAGTATAGTATGTTAAAAATCACATAATATAGTATGTCAAAAAACATTGTATAGTATAGTAAAAATGTCATAGTATAATATGATAAAAATGTCATAGTATAGTATGATACAAAAAAGTCATTGTATAGAATGATTAAAAAAATCATAGTATATTCAGTAAAAAGTGTCATATTGTAGTATATTAAAAATCGCAGAGTATAGTATCTTAGAAATCATTGTAAAGTTTGTTTAAAATCACATAGTATAGTATGTTTAAAAAAACAGTATATTTCCATATATCATTATATTATATCATTATATTATATCATATGATCAAAAATGTCTTTGTATTGTATGTTAAAAATGTCATAGCATAGTATAATAAATGACATGATTAAGTATGTATAAATTGACATAGTATAGTATGTTAATTGGTCATAGTATAGTATAGTGAAAATATCATAGTATAGTATGTTAAAAATATAATATTATAGTATAGTAAATAAATGTCATAGTATAGTATGTTAAAAATCACATAATATAGTATGTCAAAAAACATTGTATAGTATAGTAAAAATGTCATAGTATAATATGATAAAAATGTCATAATATAGTATGATACAAAAAAGTCATTGTATAGTATGTGAAAAATGTCACAGCATGGTATGATAAATGACATAATTAAGTACATATAAATTGACATAGCATAGTATGTTAAAAATCACATAGTATAGTACGTTTAAAAAATCCAGTATATTATGATCAAAATGTCATAGTATAGTATGTTAAAAAATGTTACAGTATAGTATGATAAAAATGTCACAGGATTCTCTGATTAAAATGTCATAGTATAGTATGATCAAAAATGTCATTGTATAGTATGTGAAAAATCTCATAGCATAATATGATAAATGACATAATTTAGTATGTATAAATTGTCATAGTATAGGATGTGAAGTAATCATAATATAGTATAGTGGAAATATCATAGTATAGTATGTTAAAAATGTAATATTATAGTATAGTATGTTGACAAATGATACATTATAGTAAAATAAAAATGTCACAGTACAGTGTGATTAAAATGTTATAGTATAGTATGTTGAAAAATGTCATAGTTAGTATGATAAAAATGTCATAGTATAGCATGATTAAAGGTGTTATATGTTAAAAAAATGCCATATTATACTATGTTCAAAAAATGTTATAGTATCGTATAATAAAATGTTTTGGTATAGTATCTTAAAAAATGTCATTGTATAGTATGTTAACAAATGTCTTAGTATAGTTGGACAAAATGTTATAGTATATTATCTTAAAAAATATCACAGTTTAGTATGCTACAAATGTCATAGTTGGTTTGCTAAAAATGTTATAGCATGGTATGTTTGAAATATTATGGTATAGTATGATAAATATCACATATAAAAGTACGTTAAAAAATCATAGTATTGTACAGGAGAATAGCAAAAAAGTATAAAAGAAAAAAGGATAAATATGATAAAAGAAATGTCTGAGTGTAGTATGATAAAAAAGTCATTGCATAGAATTATCAAAAAATCATAAAATGGTAATTTCATAATTTTGTACGTATAAATTGTCATAGTACAGTATTATAAAAATGTCATAGTATAGTATGTTGACAAATGCTACATTATAGTAAAATAAAAATGTCATAGTACAGTGTGAAAAAAATGTTTTAGTATAGTATGTTGAAAAAATGTCAGTATAGTAAAATAAAAATGTCATAGAATAGTAAGATAACAATGTCATATTATAGTATGATAAAATGTCACAGTATAGTTTTAATAGGTTCTGGTCATTTAAACCCCTACGCCTATCCATGACCCTAAACCTAACTCTAAGCACTTTGAAAAACTTACTCTGATCCTTTTATCGAGTGAAGCAGCCCTGGACAATCCCATTTACTTGAATTGGGACTTTGAAATGTAGGGTTATGTTATGGTTCAACACTGATAAAGACAATGCCTTGAACAGTGTTATTTATCACTCTGCAATACACTTTTATACTAATATACGATCAATAAATTTCCTGTCATTTACAGAGGAAATTATATTTTAGTTCTGCATACAATGGTCAGTTATCTAAACAGTTTGAGGGCCTGTGTTATGGGCAATTCACAGACTTTCAACTATTTTTATTTGACCTTCTGAATAATAGTAAAAGTTTTATAAATGGCTCCTAAAGTTTTTTATTTCTGAACCTCGGCAACTGAAATTGAAACGGCAGTTTGGTTTGTGAGATAGAGACAGAGATAAGGCAGGAGGAAGTGGCTGGCCTTGGTGCAGCCATCTGTCTTTACAGTAGATGATATAGAGGTACAGCTTTGGGAAAAAAAGTGTTTGCATGTTATTTCTCCTTCATGACATCAACTCTGATCAATTAAAGGGTGACAATACTTACCTACTGAAACTCAGGCAAAACTATAAAGAGCTGTCAGTGTGCAAAACACTGCTAAAGTCTCTGGAAGCTGTAAAAGAGCTGTTCTTAAATCTATCAAACATTCACTGAATAAACCCGAGTCCAGATTTCTTGCAAGGGGTATTAAAAGTAATGACCAAAGTTGACCAAATAACCACATGAAAAGTTTTTTTTTATTTTTTTTATTTGAAGTAAAACAACCCACTTGTGTGATCTCCTGTGTTATAGTGACATCTTATGGCAAGCACTATGAGCTAAAAACAGTTGCAGAAAGTCCTGGCACACTTCATCAGCAATACGGGAAGCCACACCTGTACCCACAGATGATAAAATCTATACTTTCCTTTAAATGTAAATTTTAAATTCATCACTCCAAGCAGAAAAAAAGAATCGTGCAAGCTGTTCTTAGATGGCTGTATGAATGCATGCATTAGTTTTTGTTAACATTCACTTGGTTCCATATGTAAATCAAGGAGAGCAACTTTGAGCTGAAAAAAGGATGTGATGGTTGTGGTTAATAACAGTATGACTGCACAGAACTGTACAAGAACAACTCTGTTGCTTCTGTTATCTATTAAAGAAATCGCATCAAACCCAGAGGTGAATATAATCTTAGGTTGCACCTTCCAAAGATAGACTTCTGGCTTGTAGCTTTTAATACATTTCAGGTTATAGTTCTGCTGCTGTAACCGAAACATAAATTTAACCAACCATCACACTGAACATCACGCTGAACATTTCTTTTCTTGCACAATAAGGATAAGTGCCAGTCAAAAGTTAACATTCTTGCACGTTGTGTTACTTCCCTAAACTCTTTGTTACTTTTCAGCTCAAATCAGCAACCCAAATACATGCTGAGAACACCGGCTGTGGTTGACCAACACATTTCCTGTTGCTCCAACAAGCAAGAGAGAAAAAGCAGATGTCAGAAAGACAGAGAGGTGAATTCAGTAAATGCTTGTCACACACGCCCATCAGTCAGCAGTCTATTTCCTTTTCTGAACTTCAGCACACAGCAGATATATGATCACCCAGGCAACACCGCCTCTACATGTGCAGATCAATGGAAAATGAGGCTTATTAGGGTCTTCGGTGTTTTATGTAAGTTTTCAAGTGTTCAATTCTGTGATTTATTTTACATACAAAGAATATTTGAGTGTAACCGTAAACATGACTGAATGTTTGTTTTGATTTATGACAGATTTTACTGCTGTTTGTGCAGCTCAAGATTCTCAAAATGGTAAGAGACATGCTTTACAGACATTATAAAATATCATGCATATTAAACTCGTTTTTTAACTGTGTTTTAAAACTAAATTGTATATTTTAAAACAAAAACAACATTGAGCACACAGTGACTTTGACCAAATATACACAACAAAAGCAGAATTAGAGGTAAGAGACTCAAATTAAAGGTTAAATTTCATTAAAAAAGTAACCACTTTCATCCTCTTACATGTTATACTTTAATTATGAGGAATTACAAAATAAGATTTAATAGGAAGTAGAACATGTGCAGATCAGCATGAGGAAGTACTTTGTTATGAGCCTGACTGTCCCAGCACTAAAACACCTCTTACTGCACGTTTATCGTGCTCCTGTCTTTGACTCCACATTTAGATTTTGAGTTTTCTAAACCATACCGTCTGTTTGATGAACCTGATAACTTGCCATCCAGGAGTAAGACTTGTGTGATTTCTAGTTTGTGTTCTGCTTAATCCTTTTTTTAGTTTGTGAGTTGTATAAGACCCAGAAGTGTCTGAGACGTCAAGTGTTGCTGCTAAAATGTCTACAACCTACGCAACCTCATGTGCCACAACCCCTCTGTGAAATTGTGTAACAGAAATTATATAATGTTCAATGTGAGTGGGTTAAACTACCCGGTAAAGGCGGTTTCATAATGCAAAAATATAGCTCTGATTTGGTGTAGGCTTTTTTAAGTTTTTTGTCATGATGGTCAGAAAACTGTGATTAATTTCTGTTGTGTGGATGTGTTCAAACTGCTTGTCTCCATCCATCTATTAGCCTTGAATTCAAATATCCAACTTGCAGTTATTGAGGAGGGGGAAAAAAGATGTTTACAGTAATGAGATGAAATACATGAATTTGCTTGACATTTTCTGGAAGGACTAAGGCCGTTCCTTTGGTGCAACTTGAATCTAAACATGAAGGTAAACCGTCAGTGATTGTTGTGAAATCATGTCTTCTCTCTCGTCCACCAGCTAACCTCACTCTCGGAGACGCTTCTCCACCTACATCTTTGCCACAAGAGACTACAACTGGCTACGGTAAGAATTTAATCTCAGTTTTGCTGCTAAAATATTACCTTAAAAATTATTACGAGCATGCTTCTACATTTAAAGCTCAAGTTTTCCTGAAAAAATCCTCATACATATATGTATATGTTTTCATTTTCTTCTTCCTTTAACCAATCATTTACCTGTAACTGAGTCATTCATCAGGTAACTTCAAATTTCCAATGTAGATGTGTGAGAAAGATGATATATGTTAAGCCACAACTCATCAGGCTGTGAACCGGTAGTAGACAACTGTGAAATCAGCATAGGCGTTGTCAAAAAGTTCCCATGTTCTCATTTGTTTCCTTTTTTTACTCTCTGCACTTGTTTGCAGAGATGAAATCATGACTGAATTCAAAGTTTATCAAAGTGACAGTGTGATAAAATCGTTCATCTGAGAGAATGTCAGTTGACTGGATGTACATCTGTCATTGGCAACATGTTTTGAATAAATATAATCTCAACTATATTTTCAGTGCCTCCTGTGCCATCTCTGCAGCTCCAGTCGCCCTGGTCTGATGTGTTTCCCGGTGAAAAGGTTGAGTTCAGATGTAGTATCAATGATAGCTCTGACTGGAGTTTCATCTGGCTGAGTAACAAAGGGGAAGTCACAGATTCAGAGCCAACTGTGTCTCTGTCTGCAGACCGATCAGTTCTCACAGTCACTGCAGTAAATGGAAAAAGTCTTGTAAGTTACACCTGTAAAGGTCGACACAGAAAAAAAGTCATTTTCACTCCAGGAAGCAATACAATCCAACTAACAGTTTATTGTGAGTATTATATTTCATCAATCTTTTATGTGCTTAATGTCTAGATAAGACAGCAAAACTAGAGAGGGATTTTTTTCTCTCTCTTTCTGAATAGCAAGCAAGCCCAGACCCACTGTAACCAAATCACCAAACTTTAACACGATGTACCCTGGAGAGTCTGTCACCTTCACCTGCGTGGTCCATGAGTCCTCTGGATGGGAGTACACATGGTTTCACAACAATAAACAAATTGAAAAATCTAAATCTTTCACCATAAAGTCAATTGATCATTCTAAGAGTGGAAACTATCACTGCCGAGTCAAGAGAGGAGAATTTGACTCAGAGAGCAGTGCACCACAAACTCTGCAGGTGTCTGGTAAGCATACCTCTGAATTACCTTAATTTGTTATTTTATTATTATTATCATTATTATTATCATTATTGTTGTAGTTGTTATTATTATTATTATTATTATTATTATTATTATTATTATTATTATTATTATTATTATTATCATTAATTATTTTATTTATAGACCCACCAACACCCACTCTGAAGCTGGAGTCACCCTGGCCGGATGTCTTCCTAGAAGAGGTAGTGGCATTTAGCTGTGACGTTGGCAACCCTGACTGGGTGTTCACCTGGTACAGAAATAACAAAAAGGTGGAGGCTGACGATGTCCTGACCCTGGATGATGAGGGAACACTGCTGAACATCACAGTGGTCTCTAAAGAACATGAAGGAGAATACGCCTGCAAAGCTCACCTTGATCAACGGGCTGTCAGCTCAGGGTTCAGCAAGACAGCTAATATCAAAGTTTACGGTATGTTTCGGGGACTTTAAGCTCCTATGATAAATTTCTAACCTGTTGCAATGGAATAAATATTGATGCCTTACACAATCTACAAAATTAAGTTCATTGGTGACAAGGTTGATCCTGTCTGTGTAGTCATTTTTAGAGCTTGTAACCACTGCTGCTGCATAGGTGTCAAAGTGAACCACAGCATGTTGCACAAACAGCCTACCTTTGCATTTTCACCGCAAAGTCACAGTTTGTGATACATTTGACTGCTAAAATTCAGCAGGGTGAGATATTTTGATCAGAAAAAATCACTTTCATGTAAGAATATCAGCAAAGACATTAGAGGAGCCACTTTGTCCACAGAGGTACCAAAATTAACACATTCAAAATTAGTTTGAAGAGCTTTAACTTTTATACTATACAAACTATGCATCCATGGTTTGCCTTGGGCCAGTGTGCTTTTTGTGTTATGAGTAAGATGAAATATGTCATGCTAAGTATAAGGCTGAGGGGGTTCAACATGCTGCAAAGGGGCTGCTGGGCTGCCTGCTTCGAGGAGTCATAGAAAATCTTCCATTTTAATTATGCTGCCTAAGAATGGTTTCAAGTAACCAATAACTGTAGGGAGCTAGGAGAGTATACTGAGTCAGAGCTAACAAAATCACATGGTATAAATATACCAAACTGAGTGAGGAGACACTTATTTTTTATCACTTTTATTGGCCTGGTAGAGCAGGACCCTTCAGGCCAGGGGCATCAAATCAATATTGGAATTTTTAAAAAGTAGATGCAAGACTTTTCATAAGCATGTCAAAATGCTTTCACCAAGATGCACATCTCAAAAATCCAAACACATATTCTCTGTTTAAAATAAAGATGATGCTAAACTCCATCAGTCATAATAATTCAAACTGACTCAGGCTTTTTACAGTGTTGCACTCAGCCTACATGGTGTAAACTCTCCTCTTGTTTCAGATAACATACCAAAACCAACTCTGCGTAAGACTCCTGGTTTTGACCCCATGTATGTTGGAGAAACTGTGAACTTCACCTGCAAGGTTGATGTGTCTACTGACTGGGAGTATCACTGGTACAAGGATACATATGATCAGCCTAGGAGTGACCAACCCACCAGTTTCCCCGTTGGTCTTTCGGATAAAGGAAAGTACATGTGCCAGGCCACCAGAGGCAAAACAACATCGACTGATTTTAGTGATGAAATACATCTGAATGTGCAAGGTGAGTGAACGAACAAAGCAGTAACGTGGTTTCAGTGAGCACATGGAAAACTCTTTGGTGTCAACTAAATGCTAGCGTTTTGTAGTTTTTGTTCAAACAAGATGGCAGTTTGTGTTGTCCTGGTCTTAAGTGATTAATAAACCAAACAAGCTGCTCTTGAATGCAGAGCCACCACATTTAGAAACCTTTTTAAAGTTCTTGTACATTTTCTATTGAAACAGGATGTTGTGGTCAGGCATAGCATAGGGACGGATGCTCACAACTATGCTCACGTCAAAGTGGCAATGGCAGAGAAAGAGAGAGGATGATTCATAGAAGGATGGAAAGACCTGGTGTGGTGTACAAAGTTAAAGATGTTATTTTGAATGAAGCCCAAGCTCACTTCCTTTAAGATAAGGGTGTATCCAGATGCTAATGACGGTGGTGGCACTGCTGAGGAACTTACATAGGCAGGGGTGGCTGGTGTATGTGTGTCCAAACCCACAAAGTAACAGCATTTACTCTTCCTGCCTTCACTGTCGACATAAACTACTCTAATATTAGTATCATACAACTGTTGTATTTATGCGTGTATATTTTTGTACTTTAAAGACAAATGCAAAAGAAAAGAAAGATATTTATCTTAAAGGTTTTAGACTTTAGACTGTGCTACATTTAAAGAAAGCTGCCTGTTAACACATCAAAAACACTTTATTTATACATAATTCCTTTGACAAGCCACTCATAATTTAGGATTTAAGGATGGCACTCAGATTTTAAGGAGGGCGGTGTCACCCCTCTGGATGTGCCCAAGCTTTAAGACTGTTTAATGATCTGCGTGTTCTCATTTGTTTACCAGATTGATTAAATTTAACCCTCAAACTTCTTCATGTGGCTATGTCAATTTGCTTTAGCCAGTGATTGTTCTTATATATTTAGAATAAGATGAAAATTTACCTAAGAAATTAGTCTGGCAAAAGATTTTTTTTTTTCAGTGTTCAAGTATGTAAGATCTCTGATAATGTGACTGGGTCCTTTTCCTCATGACTTGATTGTGTAAGATCAGTTTAGTTAGATGTCTTGTTCGGTCCAACATACAGCTGTTTGTAAAACCTGATACACTCAGTTTATTCTTGATGTCTAACTGGACTGATGCTGATCTACTTCTCTCTCTATATAGAAATCCCCACTCCATCTTTGACGTCAAATAAGCAATGGTTAGATTTGTTCCCTGAAGAGAGTGTGAAGCTGATGTGTAGCATGAACAGCGGCTCTCACTGGACTTACACCTGGTCCAGGGATGGACGGGAGGTCAGAGCCAGTGGTGCCGGCTCTTCTGACCTGAGCGGGGCCACTCTTTCCATCGACTCTGCATCAGCTGGGGATAAAGGACAGTATCAGTGTAAAGGACACCTAAAAGAAAGATCTGTCAGCAGCAGCTCTAGTTCTGGACTAAATCTAATGATACATGGTAAATTTTCCTTTTTCAGTTTAGATTCATAGTGAAATCTTACTGGACATAATAATGACATATTTCTTCCCTCAGATGAGAAACCCATTGTAACACTGACCCGGGATCCTGACTACACGGTGATGTACCCTGGGGAGTCGGTGAACTTCATGTGCAACATTAATGTCTCCTACGGATGGGAATACCTGTGGTTCAAAGATAAAACACCACTTCCTGAAAATGGTACTCAGTATCTAGTCACCTTGAACAGCATAGCAGATACAGGATCATATACATGCAAAGCAAAGAGAGGTGCTGCACAAGTCTTCTCCACTGCAAACAGTCGGGCTTTACACCTTAAAGTTGGAGGTATAGTTCTGATAAGCTCCTTATACTCCTTCTACTACTACTAGAGATGGTTTAAAAAAATACTCACATTTCTTTTTTGTGTTTCAGCCAGCAAGCCCAAACCCTCGATGACACAAAACCCAAATGTTAAAAAGGTGTATGTCGGCGAGACAGTGACTTTCACGTGTGATGTTGAGGCCCCATCTGAATGGAAGTACCGCTGGTTCAAAAATGACACCCAACTACTTCTAGACAGAAGCATGCATACCTTTAATGCTACTTTATCAGACACCGGGACTTATAAGTGTGAGGCCATAAGAGACAAAACACGGTACTCCTCAGAGTACAGCGATAAGATGTCGTTACTCGTATCAGGTGAGTTAAAGTGTACAGTCTTCTTCCAGAAGAAAATATGAGCATCTTTTTTTTTTTTTTTAAATGTATGAATTGTTTAAAAAAATTGGCAAAGATAATATCTTGAATAACTGAAGACAGGGGGTGATTTGTCTGATTTGCGACAGAAATTCCTGCCCCATCTACAAAGTTAAAAACACAGTGGTTGGATGTGTTCCCCTCTGAGAGCGTGAAGCTGAGCTGTGAGATGGATGGAAGGACAGAAGTCAGCTCAGACTGGAGTTACACCTGGTACAAAGACGACCAGAAGGTCCAGAATGATGATAATATAACTTTTAAACAGGATGGAGGAACTCTTTCCATCAAGTCTGCTTCAACTTCACATCGAGGACGCTACAGCTGCTCAGCAAAACTCAAGAGCAGATCTGTTTACAGCAGCAAGAGCTCTGGACTGACTCTTGATGTGTATGGTGAGGTTTTTTCTTTCTTTCTTTCGTTTCTTGATTTGGGGTTTTGTTGTGATCATTTTGATTCTAAGGCAGGTAGTTTGTTGTATCGCAGAAAACCAAACACTCTGACAAAAATGTGAGTGGAATCAATCTTGTCAGTTGAGTGTAAAAAGTAAATAAGAATGTTTTAACAAAATTTTCCATTACACACACAAAAAAATAAACAATAAAAAACATCTAAACCTGGTGACAAAGCCTGCCTCTAGCAAATCAAAAGGCTGTCACTGTAAATGCTTTTAGACTAGCGCCTCCTCACTGTTGGCTTTGATTTGTTTTGTACATTCAAATATTGCCATACTGATGAAATTGCTTTTTTCTACCCCATAGATACAAAACCCCTAGTCACACTGATACAGAAGCCGAAATTCAGTGACATGCACACTGGAGATTCAGTCTCCTTTAGCTGTCACATCAATGTCTCAACTGGATGGGAATACCAGTGGGTAAGAAACAATGGTGGGCTTCCTGAATCAGGAAAAAACCACACTATTACATCTGTTTCAACATCAGACTCTGGATCATACAAATGCCGGGTCAAAAGAGGAAAGGGTGCGGTCTTTGAGTCAGAGTATAGCGCTGTGCGAGAAATCCAAGTCGATCGTAAGCTTCTTTTGACTGTTATCTTACATTTTTCTTAGTGTGCAAGCATTGAATTAGTTAACCTAACATAAATCTGTTTCTGCAGAGCGCCCAAAGGCTACTATCATCTTGTCAACTGGCTGGTCTGAAGCCTTCTCCTCTGACAGCTTGGTGCTCAGGTGTGGTGTGGAAAGCAAGTACCAGTGGAACTACACATGGTAATTCAGAACAAAACAAAAGCAGCAATTTGGATGAGATCAAGTTCATCTACATGTGTGCTGTTTTAACTTTCTCCTTTCTGAAAATTCAAACTCACAAACTGTACAGGTACAAAGAAGGCAATCCAATCCAAAACCACACATCTGAGAAATACAAAGTCACGCCCCAGAACGACCCCAAACAGAGTCAGTACACTTGCGAGGGCATTCGCAACAGCAGACCAACTTATTCAGAACGAAGTGACCAATTCAAGACCAGTAATCTGCGTAAGTATAAATGAATCCTGAAAAAACTGAGCTCACCCTGCAAATGTATGTCCCGACTTTAATCCCTGTTTTATTTTTTATTCTGTAGTCTTGAAGAGGAGGGTTCTTCTTTCCATTTCCGGCGTTATCCTCTTTGGGATCATTGCTGTTCCCTTGGCGTGTATCATTTGCAGAATCTTCCGCAAACCAGGTTATGTTCAAGTTTTTATGGGCTTGTGTTTCTATGTATATTGTAAGGCGACCTTGAGTGCCTTGAAAGGCGCCCTAACAAATAAAATGTATTTATTATTAAATACAGTCAGGGACTAGCTGGCAAACAAAAACAAGTGTTTATCAGATGAGCTGACAAAGTCCAGGCTAAATATGAACTGAATAAAGGAACTCAAGATAACAAATTTAGAAATGTAAAAATAATAATGAGGTTGCTCTTTCACTGCCACCATAGGTGTATAAAATAGACACCATGATAAAAACATCACAAGATCTCTCAAAGATTTCTTATCTCACACTCTCTGTCGGTTAGAGAACTAACTGACCTGTCGACTTTTCTCATCACACAGCTGACGAGGAAGACAGAACGGAGGAGGTAGACCTGTTTCTCACCATGGCTCAGCAGAAGGGTGCTGGTATGTTGATATCATCTAACATAGCTTGTGGTTTTGGGTGCAGTTCCCGCAAATGCTGCAAAAACAGCCCCACCAGAGAATCATAGGGAGCTATATTTAAAATTACAGGCAGTCAATGCCGCTTTCGTACACTTGAAAGTTTCAGTTTCACTCATTTTGAGCTACAACCTATATGTTTGTTCTCTTGAGTCAAAGTCTTCCACTTTCCTTGCAGATATTCCCTGTCCACTGGTGGAGTACATCACTGATGCCTCTCTGAATGCTCCACCTAAAGGTAAAAAAAAACTGCAGATAGTTCCAGATAATGCTACAAGAATTAAGTAATTATGTTAGTGTTTTAAAAGTTTTCTTGTATTTGTCTGCAATCTAAAAAGTTGTTTTGTATGACCCACAGAAAAGGAAGAGAATGGCATTATATGCAGTGAAACAACACCATTACCAATAACCTCACAGGAAGACCAAGGTAATAAAGCTGTACTTCAGATTCAATCATCAAACAGAACACAGGGACTGTGTCTATTTCTTAGTAGCTAATATATGGTCCATCTCCCCTCCTGTGTGTTCAGATGTGACAGATGAGAGTCCTGATGCGGCAGAAAACAATGGGGGTCTGGTTTCCTTCAAACAATGATTCTCCGTGGACTGGCCTCTGTTGGTCATTATCAGAAAACCAAATGTTTGGACAGATGGTAACTGGAGAGACAGTTTTGCCTTAGTGCAACTTTTACAATCAGTGTAGAAAAATGATAATAATAGTTGGATCAGGAGTGTAATAAGATGAAATAAAGTTCATGCCTGAGCCTTATACAATGACCATCATAGGAAAGTTTACACTCATACTGTCAGGCTCAGCACCAAATGATCTATCTTGTTGCCTTTTGCAATTCTTTGACTTTAATGCTAACTTTTGGGGTTCATTATGTTTGCGTTACTCTGACAGTTTTTTAGACTGAAAAAAGTTGAGTTTGAATGGCTTCTGCATCCTAATGTTGAGAAGTGGAAAGGCAGGAGCCCTATTGTTTTTACGAAGAAATATCATGGTACATTTTACACATGAATATAAAGACGTGTTTTTCAATTTTTTTTTTTTTTGATTGCACGATATTTGTTTGTAAAGTTGCAACGCAATTCTTGTTTCATTTGAACTTTAAAGGTCACAATTGTGGAGTAATCCTGATTGAGGCTGTGTGGGCTGTAAATACCAGTTTGATAAGAGTTGACAAGATATGACGTTTGACTCGTCAGACTTTATGTGTCATATCCATGTGTCAAGATTTCTTTCTGCACTGAATATTGCTTTGTTTCATGATGCTGATGAATGTTGTACATATTTTATTCACATTTTTATTGATAAACCATCTGTTCAAGGTGAAGTTGGAACGTAGAAGATTATTTATACAAAAAACATTGATATTAGTTAGCTGATAGTTAGTTTTGAAGTACTGTATGCACTGTAAATATGTGTTTATATGAAGAAGAACATTGAACGTCTGGTTAATATTTTAATTCTTGTTACAAACACCAGATGTCAGTAGATAGAAGTTAGTTTCCACCAAAGCTCACTGACCGTTTGCTTCTTGTGTGATAGCACAGCTACAGAAATGGTATTCAAGCATTTAGTGACTCCTCATGAAATTATCAAAATAAAAAATATAAAATAATGAGTGATTATTCAAATTACTATTGATTTGCACCATCAGATTTGACTGAAGCACACGTTCAACCACCTGTCTGCCTGTTGGAAGACACAAGGAGAAGAAGAGAAAATACGGAGGAATGTCAGTCATAACCCCCAAAACAAATTCAATTTGAAAGTTTTCATTAATTCAACAAAAGTATACTCACTGAAGCACCTCTACTTAAGGATATCAGCCAGTTTCTCCACATAGTAGTTGTAGTTATCCTGACAATCCTCCCAGGGTGCAAAGCTCTCGTCCTCCTTCTCCACGTATGTTTCCCAAACATGCTGGAAATCAGACGGCTTCATCATCCGCAGTTTGCAGCCTGCATTCACCAGAGCTCGGAGCCCCTCCACTATCTCCGGCTCCTCCCACTCAAAGAGACGGGAGCAAAATATGCAGAGACGGAGCTTTTTGCGCTGCTTGAGGATGTTGGCCACCTTTGTAGCACAGGACACACAGGGACTGGATGACACATACCATGTGACTTCATACTCCTGGGAAGGGTTGGGGAGCACCTGGAAAAGGAAAACGTTGAATTTGTGCAAACTGAGAGGATAAAAAGTCAGAGTATGGTAGCCTACTAGAGATTACGTAAAAAATAGAAATGCAAACAATAGTACAAAGTTATTATCAGCAATGGTGATACTTCTACTAATAAAGAAATCTGGGGTGTTGAGAGATATTCTGGTGTAAAATTAAGCTAGGGTCAAACACATCGTAACATTGAGTTAGACACCCCGTCGAGAGATGAATGTTCCTGACCGCTTGCTTCTTTAGTTATGTCAACTTTACGACCGCAGATGGCAATACAGAGAGCCATGCGCTCAACCATAAAACCACTCTATAGCTAAAAATAATGCTCAGAACAGCACCTCACTTCATCAAAAGTACATATAGGGTCCCAGCCACAACACTAGTCACCAAACATCTTTTTAGCTTTGCCTGATTTCTTTAGCAAAGAGACTAAACACAACTCACCCTCTCTCTTCCAGCAGCCACTTGTTTGTACAGACACAAGGGCGAGTCCATCAACTGCAGCGGGGGGACACAGCTCAAGGAAGAACATTTATGATTATTTTCTAATGGAAGTGCAATTAGACCGAGATGCTAAGGCAGAATAATTACCACGTCTGCAGTGCAAAATGATCAATATGATGATAATTACTTAAAGGAAATGATAAAGTAATGATCAGAAATGTTCTTCCTTGAGCTGTGTCCCCCCGCTGCAGTTGATGGACTCACCCGGAGGTCTTCATACAAACCAGCAGCTGCTGGAGGAGAGTAGGTGAGTTGTGTTTAGTCTCTTTGCTGAAGAAATCAGGCAAAGCTAAAAAGATGTTTGGTGGCTAGTACTATGGCAGGGACCCTATATGTCCTGTTGATGAAGTTAGGTGCTGTTCTGAGCATTATTTTTGGCTATAGAGTGGCGTTTTGGTTGAGAGCATGGCTCTCTGTATAGCTGCGGTCGTTACTAAAGTTGGTATAACTAAAGAAGCAAGCGGTCGGCAACATTCATCTCTCAAGAGGGTGTTTAACTCAGTGTTGCGGTGTGTTTGACATTAACTTAAATTTACACCAGAATATCCCTTTAACATCAATGCATGAGACCCGATGCAACTAGGGTCAATTCCTTTGTCTATTTGCTTTTTAATCACATGATATTTGTCCCTTTGGGCACACCATAGTTAAGCTGCTGCACCACCTTCCTGCTTCTTGGTGCTTATCTTTGCATAATTAATCTGAACCTAATGTAATATTTTAAACCAATGACAAATAAATAATGATTAATTGTTTGACAGCACAATGTAACCCTGTGTTATCTGTGATACAGATAAATTGGGTGCAAAGAAAATTGCACCAACTGTTTCAAATACTTACCAGGTGTAGCATTTTACTGTTTTTTTATAATCAAGAATATCAAAGAAAACAGAATGACTGCTAAAAAAACTTTATATACTTTCTATCTGCATCACATAAAGCAAACAACAAAATCTTCATGTAAATTATTACTGATTTTCTCGTAAATTAATATATGGTTGAAAGCGTGCAGCTCAAAAACTTCCTCTTTTTTTAGGGTTAATTTTGGGTCTTCTTCACACTTTATTTCACAAGACTAGAAAGAGGTGGAAACTGGGGAGAAATGATGTGAAATGACAAAACAGCAAGATTAAGGGCCACAGGCTGCTTAAGCCATCCACTCTTCAAGCCTCTATACATGGGGGGCCACATTTGACCAAACCAGAGAAGCTACATCTTTGATGGTTGTCTTTAATTTATGACTTGATTTTAACTAGGTATTGGGAATTAATGGGATTTGGATGTTATTCTGTAGATTAAACATATGTTTACATATGTGTTGTTTAATGTCTGTCTGTACCAACACATATAAATAAATAAACATGAGAATATGTGCATTAACAATAATAATTGGTCATAGAGAGTCTGACTGCTTGGCACACAAAGGGACAAAAGAGCAGGAAAATACTTAATTGTGAAACTGCCTGTGGAATTAAATATGTGTAGCCTGATAGTACTGTAAGAAAAAAAGCAGAAGGAGCTAATTACTTGTTGAAAGAAGGCCTCTTCAGCATGAGCTGTGGCATGTTCATCCTCCATATAACCTTTGAGAGGCTCAGTGCTGCCTCCTGGTGTATCCACTCTAAAGCACAGCAGGGTCTTGTTCCTCCCTGATGAGTACTCAACGTTCCTGAACTGAAACTTGAAGTAGAACGGGCTCATCTGTTCCCTGATGGGGGAATAAAAGTGAGAGTCTCCATAAATCCAAAACAGGCATGCCTGCACTTTAGGTTTAATGGCACAAACTCTGGTGATCAGTTTAGCTTGTTAGATGCTTAGAGGTTAGAGGAGTATAAACAGTGACTAAACAATCAGCATGACACATCCATCAAACATCCTTTTGAAGCAATCTGTCACCTTTAATCTAAGTTTGACTGGAAGTGACAATGTAGGTAAAAAGGCACATACTTCCAATCCCAACACAGAGCATGAGTCACTTATTTTGGGATGATTTTGTAAACCAGCCAAGACACAGTTAAGAGTAATGATACTGTCGAGATACAGTGGATAAAATATTGAGAAGGCCAACTCTTCAAAAGCTCATGATTCTATGAATATTTCTGTCTTTCACAGTCTGTGGATGTGCCAGGCTCCTCACCCACTATCTTTTTTTTATCAATCCATTTCTATTACACATGAACAGACAGATGGATTGTGCAAACATTTCTCTCTGTAGTGATATCAAACTAATACAAGCTGGGGGACAGACACTAGGTGTAGCGATATGACAGTGGACAGCATCTGTGTCTCTGTGACTCATCCCTATACTTACCGCTGGGTTTGTAAGGACAGCAGGTGCAAGTCATTCGTATTCTTACTGACTAAATCAACAACACATTACACAGAACTGTACTCTGAGAAAGACATTAAAACAGATTCAAGACTTTCAAGAAGAGTTTTTAAGAGTGACACACTGGCTCTAACACTCACAGGGAATAAAGAAAATCTCACTCACCCTGTGACAATCTCAAATGGAGGCAGTTCAATGGGCTGAAACTCTCCGTTCTCTTCACTGCTCTTTGCTTCGGCTCCTGCTGCCTCTTCACTTTCCCCATTCCTCTTCTCTTCATCCGCCTTAGCCGTTGCTTCCGGCTTCTTCACAACTTTCTCAGGCTTTTTCACACTTTTCTCCTTTCCTTTTTCTTTCTCTTTCTCCTCGTTTGTTTTGTTTTCTACCTTCTTCTCTTTCTTCTTAACGCTCAACCGGCTGTTTCTGTCGGCCATGATTTGTACCAGTGGGTAGATAAAGAGATGGAGGGAGAGAGAGCTCCCAGTAAGTGGAGAGATAACCCCGGTGCTTTACAGAAATAGATCTCCATTGTGTGCTGTGGCTGGAGTCACAACATGAGCATGTCTGGCTGGGGCTCATTTGAGTCACTCCCCCCTTTACGTCCATGCCCCGGCTGCAAAAAGGCCAAAGGACAGGACAAGAGTAGGTGACAAAGCTGGGCCAAAGCTAGGCTTGTATCTTTGACATTCTTAATGGAGTTACTAAATAAAGGAAGGAAACTAGCAGATTCTCTGTATAAAAGTTCAACCTCAAACGCACTGAGAGGCATCCCTTTAATCCATCAGGATTTAACTGTCAACGGGCCAGCAACAGGCAAGTTATTAATATCAGTGCTTGGCTGTAGCTGTGTGTACGGGGTAACTAGGGCTCTCTTTCTGCTCAACACAACTTTTGTTTGTGCCAGCTGCAGTGACTGTACCCCATTAGACCTTAGTAATGCACCAAGGCCAACTAAAGGGCACCCAGAATAGGGGCAGACTGAAAGCAGTGCAGCACAAACAAAAACAAACACTAACAAATACAATGAGTAAGAGATTATTCCTAGTATTTGTCTCTATGTTATAAATAAGAGTGGAAGTGTGGTCCAGTGTGCAAGTGCCTGTGAACAATCAATCTATGAAATCACCCTGCATCAATATGGGTCTCTGCAGAGGCCGCGGCATGGGGGAGGGAAAAAATTGGTTTTGTGTATGTGTGTCTATGTGCAGACAGAAAATGGCTTTCTGCACTGCAGATGTAATAACTTGAGGCATAAGGGAGAGACAGGGAGAGAGAAGGGGCAGTTCAATTACAATTTCCTTCCCTCCCTCAGCCTCGCTCTCTGCCAAGTAATTCATTTCAGAAGCAATTACCAACAGGACTGCAGCCCAGCCTGCTCATCTAACTCATATGGATGAGCTGTCACAGCCGGAGGGGGAGGGAGGGGAGGAGGGGAGGGGAGGGAGGCTCCAAGCTGCTCTACATACACTGGCAAACAACAACACACCCCATGGGGATGGGCAAAAAAAAGAAAAAAAAGACCCACACTCTTTCAAAGATAAGAACACTGACACAGCCACACAGATAACAAGCAAAACATCCAAGTCCAAAGAGACATCCTGGGGTGATAATCATTAAGATCACAGCAATCTCTGATAATCATGATCTATGAGGGAAATCTCATTGCATCCCACTTAGACTGCAACACTTCCTCTGAAGTGATTTTCAACAACAAAACAGCAACGCTCACATGAAGCTGTTTCATAGTTCGAAAAGAGGCGTACACACTGTGACACTTATTATTGGATTTAAAAAATCCTAACAGACAGATAGACAGCCATCTTCAAACAGATTCAAGTTTTTCTAAACATTAATGAATACTTGGAGGCAGTTTGTGCATTCTGATGTAGCATTACAAAAGATGAGAATGGAAGGAGTGTGCAAATTTGTGGTGTGAAGAAAGAAAGAAAGAAAGAAAGAAAGAAAGAAAGGAGTGAGAGAGAGAGAGAGAGAGAGAGAGAGAGAGAGAGAGAGAGAGAGAAAGGACTGTGTGGATGTGACTGCTGCCTTCCTGCTGACTCAAATTAAACCATAATGGAATAACATAGAATTACCCTCGCTCCCCACTGGCCCAGCGCACAGTAACAGAGTACTTGAATAAAGGCAAACCCACACTGCAACATTCACAGTTCTTTCATCAAAGCGATGCCCTAAAAAGTGGCTTCAATACTTCAATTATTAAAAATTACTTCTTGTGCCAAACACACACATCCTCTGATAGTTTCTTGGAGAAGAGGCGGGGTCAAAACCATTTGAAACGCTAAAAGCTGAGAGATAGAAGTGGACACAAAATTAAAACAGAGAAAAATGCTGTTACAGCACACGGAAACATGATTGACCTCCACCCCATAAGAGTGTTATAAAGGACTGACAGAGGAAAATAGAAATGACCAAAGGTTCAGATGACATAAGGAGGATACATGAGGAAGCTAACAGTCCTTCATTGGTTTAAAAAAGTGTGCAACGTTAACACCTCATGCATGGGTGCATGGACATCTGCAAACATCTCTACTTTTGGGAGTGAAACTCATTTATTTTGATTCTCCAGTGATGAGGCATAAAAAAGGATAAGTGGTGATGCACAGACATATTGTTTAGCAGCTGATACTTTCCTTCAAAACAAAAGCGTCAAATGAACAAGCCCTCTGAAATGGATCATCTGCAACAGAAGGCAATAACTGACCATTTGGTTTTTGTTGTTGGTGAGTCAGTCTTAGCTGTTAAACACACAGGCTGTCTTTGGGGGCGGGGAGCATAGAAACAGAGCTCTGTGGTCTTGAGGTTAGCTGGAGATCCTGGTCAAGCCAAATAATATTAAAGTAAATGCCTAAGCATTGATCCACTCCTACTTCCCCTGGTCCACCGCATGTGGTGTACGCATGCTACATAGTACAAAGCAACAGTCCACACCAACCACAGACGGCAAAATGATTCATAAGAATGGAACTAGAAACTGCGCAATTTAATGTCAAATAACTAGTAATATGAGGATTAGATTATGTTGCTAGCTTAGAGGTTAGAATCTAAACCATAACTTCACTGCATGTATTTAGTCCCAGTTGCTTTCTAGTTAAAACAAAGCTTGACATTTAGCTATGAGTCCATAATAATCTGTAGTTAGCTTTGAGGTAGATGAGTGTCTCCAGGTTCTTTGGTAAAACACGGCCTCTCTCTGGCCGCAGACAGCGCTCAGCAGTGGAAAAAATACTCTCCACTACAGTTCCACAAGCAGGTATGGTGAACGTCTGCTTGGCCACTTGTGCAAGCAGAGGAAAGTCAATGGCTTTACGTCGCCAGTAATGCAAAGCCTCCTCGTCTGTGGGCTCCTCACGCAGGTACACGGCCAGCTCCTGCTCCAAGCTCTTTGCCTGTGTGGTGGGTCTCTGCTTGATGAACGAGAACAGCTTGCACGGCCGTGAGAGGGGAGAGACTGGTGATGGAGCCAGGTCAGGCGGGGTCTGGGACTGAGAATGTAGGTCTGTGTTTGGGTCTACTGAGTTGGCGGCTGTTGAAAGTTTAGATAACTCCTCTATAAGAACTTGTCTGTGCCAATCAGGGGTGCTGCTCCAGGAGAGCTTAAACTGGGGGTCTAGGGTGGTGGCAGTGATGTAGAGGGGGTCATCCAAGATAGGGGCCAGTTGACTTTCCACAGCTTGACTGAGGCCAGCCAAGAGAGCGCGGCAGTGAGGGGTTGATGTCTCGGAGAGATGCTTCCTTAGGCCCAGAACACAGGGCAAAGCAAGACTGATGGACACGTGTCTGTCTGTCTGCATATCTGCCTGTCTTTCACCATGGACCATGTCCCAGGCCTCAGTGAAGGGCTCCAGAGTGTCAGTGAGCTCTCTCAGCAGGGCTCTCTCTGAACCATCCAGAGCCAGTTCCCCAGGACCGCTCACCTCTTCCAAAAACTCTACCGAGTCCAGCAGCCGTCGGAGAACCTACATCAAAAATAAAAAGACAATTTTAAACCAGGACAAATCTCTCATTTATGTCTACCTTTCATATAATACACAGCAACGTAGGTGCAAGCTAACATGTTTGAATCTTGAGTTTTTGTCAAAGTAACTTTTACAACCAAACGTCACGACAGAAAGAAATTCATAAGAAAAACTCCAAAGTGCTCTGTGGTCTTCATCACCATACTGTTTACCCAGTTTTAATTGATTATGGCTGTGCCCTTAAAGGGATAATCCAGCGTAAAATTAATTTAGGGTCAAACACACCATAACACAGAGTTAGACACCCCCGAGAGAGACTGGCCCGAGGTCTCGCTACAAACAAGCGGCGGCCGGAAGAGAGTAGCTGAGTTGTGTTTAGTCTCTTTGCTAAAGAAATCAGGCAAAGTTAAGAAAATGTTTGGTGGTTAGTGCCATGGCTGGGACCCTATATGTACTGTTGATGAAGTTAGGTGCTGTTCTGAGCATTATTTGTGGCTATAGAGTGGCGTTTTGGTTGAGGTTTGTTTATGGTTCCTCAGACCGCTGTGTATTGCTATCCTACGGTCATTACTAAAGTTGGTAAAACTAGAGAAGCAAGCGGTCGGCAACATTAATCTCTCTCGGGGTGTCTAACTCTGTGTTACGGTGTGTTTGACCCCAAATTAATTTTACGCCAGAATATCCCTTTTAAGCTATTCTTGTAACGTGTGGTCAATGTCACTTTTGCCTTTCTGAGGAGATTATGTTTTTCAACTCTGACATATGAAGGTGTAACAGCCTTAAACTTCTTGATATATTAATGTACTATTTATACTATTAAATGAATTGAATGTCCTGACATGTGTGCACAGTTAGAACAGTATTTAATGAAAAATAAAAATGTGTCTATAATGCTTTAAAAGGCCAAATAACTGGAGCATTACATATGACAAAGTAATATGACTTACCTTGAGCTGAGCTGCCCAGTCTCTTGCTGCAGGAGGGGCATTTCCTGATCCACCCATGGTTAATCCAGGACAGTCAAACACCTGGCTAAGCTTCTCAGGTGGGACAGCAGAGGTAATGTAGGTGTAAAAACAGGCAGCCTTGGCCAGTGTGGAGGACAGCTGTGGACAGGAGTGTAACCCCTCTCTGATGGACTGTTCAAGACAGCGAGAGAAACAGTCTACCCGACAACCACCCAGCCCTTTTTCCCATGAGTCCACCCACTCTCTTTTTCCCCCACAGTCACCATGGCCATTCCTCATCCCTTCCTCTGGATTGTTACCATCGTCCAGCCTTTCTGTATTGTCCTCCTGCAGCTCATTAGAATGAGACGGTGAGACCAGGAAGCCGGGAAGACAACACGGCTTTGCTTTTGCTGTTATCGAGAAAGGGTCTGCTACGATACGAAATGCTCTGCCTGACACTCCATGAGAGTGACACACCTCATCAAAGTCTGATAGGACACGGTTCTCAGAGCAGCCTCCAGTCAAGGGGAGACAGGCCAGGAGAGCCGAACGCATCTGCCAATCAGATGTGAGAAAATGGCAAGTGACACCGAGGTATCTATAGAGAGAGAGGGACAGACAGAGAGAGAGAGGACTCATTATTGAGAGAATAAAAAATGAAGATATTATCCTGTTTATGGCTGGTTTTACCTCCTTACCCTGCGGATGCTCCAGTGAAGCCTCTCCACAGATCCAGGCTGAGACTGAGAGCGTGAGCTGAAGCCAGAGCCTGACGAGTTGCCAGCTGGGCCTGATAGGCATAAGCTGGGAGGAGCTGACTTTGAATATAATGCTGGGCCTCAGGTGTGTAACGTGGCTCCAGGAGCTGAAGCAGCTCTCTAAAACCTTGATTTTCCACTATGGACACTGGCTGCAGATCTCGCACAATCATCTTAGCAATAGCCTCAGAGATCAGAACCTATGGAGGCAATAAAAACAGGGAGTTACCTTTGTCACAGCAAATGATTGCATTGGATAAAGTGGCACTTGCAGGATTGGACAAATCACCGCTTGGTTCGTGGCATCCCAAGCAATGGTGTACTTAAATACACACCTGGCGTGGGTCATGTCTGTCGAACTTGGTCACCCCTCCTCCCCCAGAGCCTCCTCCTACTCCTCCCTCAGTGGTTACCATTCCTCCTCCTCCTCCACCTCCTCCCCCTCCAGCGCTGATGGGGATGGCGTAGCGGGTATTCCCTCCATTGCTGGGGAAAGTATGCAGGGAAGCAGAGGAGTAACCCTCTCTTTTCATATCCTTCCTTTTCACAAAGTCATCATACATAGCTTGGTGTTTCCGCTGAATATGGAGAGACAGAGTGTGGAGAAAAAAAAACAGTGTTACTGTCTGACAGAGAAATAGTTCAAACACTAGTTTTGATTTCATAAGAAGATAGAACAGTGAGCTGATTGTAGTACTTCTCTTGAAAATACGCAACAGACTGTCAGCATAGGCAGGTTTTGAGTGACAGTATAGATACTGCAGGGTTAATAGTTGCAGCAGATTTTAATATATGCTGGATAAGCCACACAGAGTTTCATTTTGAAATGATTACCTTAAGATGCGTTACAAAGTTGGACGTGACACTCCGCTTCGCCTGGATCCTGGTGCCACAAGCCTTGCAGTTGGACTCGATTTTACCATTTTCACCTTCAAACACAATATTAAAGTAATCCAGAATAGACACCTTTGCAGCTGACGCCATCGGAGCCAAGAGTCTCTTTGCTCCAAAGTAAAATCAACTTGCAATCAAGGACAAACGGAGGCTGAGGCATCAATCTCACCGCGCCTCTGTTCATGAGCGCAGGCCGGCGTGTTTACTTCCCAATCCTTGATCACACATCAGACAAACGCTGCTGCCAGTTGCGCAGCCGTTCAGACAGTTCCCTCCAAGCTGGATATTTGTGGATTGCACGTCCAAAATCGACCCACGCGGGATATAGGGGCAGCTGCAGATGTCTAAAACATCAATATTTTCACCTGTAAAGCTACATGCGTCGTTCCTGCGCTTCCATCCGCTGTTGAACAGAGAAAGAGCCGGGAGGCAGAGCGATGCTTCTTCTCATAGGAGCACAGACAGGATCGTAACTGGACCAGGAAGTACACACAATGAGGTAGTTTCGTCTACCGTTTCGACAGTTCCCGGTGATGTTCGGCTGTCCCCACGCGAGCTGCCTGGAGGAGAGGGTGGTGGCGCTCGGTCAGATGTTTTCAATCACCCTTAAGCTCTTATTGTGATTATAAGAGGCGACTCTTTTTTTAATAATACTAACAAGATTTGGATTAAAAACTTTTCTTCTAATTAAAACCCATCTATTTCCACATAATGTCATCATATTTTATTAAATTAATTATCTATTTTAATTGCCTTTTAAGAACAAGCTAAAAGCAAACACAGACACAAACATCACATGCAAGACTAGTGGGTGCTTTTTTGGGTTGCCAGATTTGGGGGAAAAAAAAGAAAAGCACCCTCTGACTGATCCTTCCATTATAACCCGATTGTTGCAGAAGAGTTAAAACAAACAAGCCAATTGTTTTTCTGTTTTTTTTTAAATAACTAATGCCTTTTTATTAATAAATAAGTATGATTATTAAAATGTTTATCATTAAATATTACAGCAGCCTTTGGTACTGATGAACCACACATTGAGGAAATATTCAGTCTATATATTTAATAAAAGGTTGATATTTAGAATCCAACGAATTTGAGGTCAAGTTTTCAGAGGTCAGATTCATCGCAAACAGGCAAACCATTCATCACTGGGACAGCCAAAACAATAATAATAATAATAATAATAATAATAATAATAATAATAATAATAATAATAATACAATTACTGTATAATTCACTATCAGTTAATTACAAAGTAGGGGCTGCTCCAAATGTGTCCTCTGCTTTGAAATCCAATGGGAAGACTGCTTTAGATGGCCTTGAAGAGTCTGCCACTCAGGCTCTCAGATCATCTCCAGCTCCAAACTGACAGTGTTTTTCATTCTACTGTCTGGTCCGACTGAGCTGCTGGTATTTTCTCCTGGAGCGCTTGTTTGTTTTTCATGCTGTCCACCAGCTCCTGTCTGGTCTTCAACATGGCCGTCTGTAAGGTTGCAATCTCGGCTGACAGCTCTATCACTGATTAAAAAAGGAGACAATGAAAGATGGTAGTAGTGGTTTTAGTAGTTGTGTCATGTATATTGTTAAAACTTATGTGTTTTATTTTAAAAGAGTATGCAACATTGTGTGAATATAACCCTTAAAAAAATGACCATATCATTGGAATCAAGACAGACGATGACAAGGAGCACCTCCTGAACTCAAAGTGGAGTATAAAGTTAATAAATATTTGTGTGCATTCAGAACCCCTGGTTTTATTTGTTTGCTTTTATGAACAGAAATGTCAGCAGAAACTGATTGTGAGTTATCCTTATCTTTTTGAAGTATACTTCACTATGATACTTCTGTCAAAAATCTGACTTGCATGATTCAAACTGTCAAAAACTAGGTCTCTGTTTATGTATGGTTTCCTCTGTGCATGGTACAGTTTTAACCTCCATTTGTGGATGCGGCGACAAACTGTGTTCACAGACTGTGGTATCTGAAAGGGATTTTGAGCCCTGTAGTAATTCAGGTTGGTACATATCGGCCTTGTCCCTTTTTAACAGAAATTTCTTCTGAATCCTTTAATGATATTATGTATTGTAGATCATGAAATTCTTAAATCATTTGCAATATTACGCAGAGAAATATTATTATTAAAATTCTTTGGTTGACATTTTTTACAGTGTCCCAACTATTTTGGAATTGGAGTCGGGAAATATAAGACATTAAAAGGTACAAATGTGAATGAAACTGTTGAATTACATCAGTTCAGGTGCTGTTCCTATTATTAAGGTACATGTTAATTTAACAAATACAAAAACAAATCAGCTGAGCTTGGTTTAAACCCTTTCATAAAGATAGTGTTAAGTGTTAGTTTGCTACAAAAAAAAAAACCAAAGCAACAGCTTTTCTGAGGAAGTAACTGAATACCTTGCTTGAATGATGACTGTGCTTGTTTTAGAGACTGTGGCACCAAAATCCCGAACCATTTCAGGGGATCTTGCTGAGGACTGTGTTCTTTTTGCCTCACTGGAGTTACTTCAGGTGTTTTTTCACTCCTTTCTTCTTCACATGCATCTTTATTTGTTTTATCACTCTTTGGTTTGATTCTCCTCCTGACACCTGTAAAATCACATAGTTCGATCAATGGTCAAACACAAGTTTTAATTCACACCATGTTTTTAAGCAATAGAAATTATGGCAGACTTACCCTCTTCTTGAGGTCCAATATCCTCTACTGAACTTGTGTCTTTTTCAGTTTCATTGCTACAACTCTGTTCAACCTTTTTTGTGAAGAAATCCACTTCACCATTGTCCAGTGTTCTGCACACATACATATGAGGCAAAGAGAATATCATAAATAAATGTAAAAACTAGTAAAATCTAATGGATAACAATTGTCATGTGCAATAGCGAAGTTTAAGACTAATTCCTCACCTTGCATGAACACAAACTAAGGGCTCTATTTCACTGGCATACTGAAGAGCAGAGACCTGTTTGTTTCCCATGGAGTATCGAGCCTTTGAGATAGAGAGCCATCCCTATGCGGGGAGGGGGAAATAGTAATGGGATGCAGTGGTTGACAAGGGTAAGGGATAATGTGAAATGCACAAGAAAAACATCTCAATATTACTATAAAGTTAAAATTGATACAGTCTACAAACTGTCTTTGATACCTGCTCAATTAGAGAGTTAAGAGCAACTCGTTTCTCCTCCAGTAACTCCAGCTGATCCATGAAATGGAGAAGCTTTTCGTCCACTAACAGAGCAGATCCATCCAGCTTTTCTCCAACCATGACGATTTCCGTAATGGTAAAACAAAAACACTTCAAGTGACAGTTTTTGCGACTGTCGCTTAAACCACCCCAAATGTTTTCACAGATAAGGTTTGGTTAAAAAACTGACGGTAGCGACCTATTCAGATAACAGTGAGGGAATACTACTTCCGTGTAGCGTCATATGACCTGTGATGTCACGTCACATGACTACTAAGAACCAGCCAGAGAACTCCCCTTGCGACAAAGGATGAAAATCGCGGATCAGTACCATAGACATCTACTATTACAAAATTAGCAAGCTCTCCTTATTATAGGTATGATTTGCATGAAATATTTGTTCTACCAATTGTTGTCACCGTTATTACTAAAGTCTAACTGACAACAAAAAAGCAATTCATTCAAAACAAAAACAAAATAATTATGTTGATTTATAGTTTTGCAAAATGAGAGTTTTAAAAATACATGTTCCCATACCGGGAGTCGAACCCGGGCCGCCTGGGTGAAAACCAGGAATCCTAACCGCTAGACCATATGGGACATACATGCAGATTGCGATGGCCAAAATTTTTTATTTCTTTATTTAAACGCTGACATGTTTTATAGTATGTAGAAAAATGATTAATAAAATTCCCAATCTTGTGGTCCTAAGTACTGAGATATTGTATTACGTTCCCTATTTACTGATATTTTGATTCCAACAAAGGTAGATAATTTAGTAGTAAAGGTACGTGGCTTCAATAAGGAAAAAAGGTGTGAAATATACCTGTCTTCCATTTACCTACTTTTTGCGCAACATTCATTTACTTTCTGCTGTAGCAGCTCAGCAACGTGATGACTGGATAACCATTCAGCCGCCAAAACAGAGTCAAAATTTGTCCTTGTAACTTGAGTTTCGTGAACTTGTAACTTTAGTGTTGCAACTTCTGATTTCTGTGTCGCATGTGAAGGTAGGAAATTTGTAAACTTGTAACTTCAGGGTCGCACTTGAAGGTGGGAAATTTGTGTGTCCGTCGGATTTAGTTTTACAAATGCACAAAATATGCCCACGGGTAAAAATAAGTTTTACACATGCACAAATCATTTTGACAAATTCAAAATATTGCTACACATGCACAAAATCTTTTTACACCCTCAAAACTGTGTTAGACATACACAAAGTGTTTTACACGGGCAATAACTATTTTTACTAGCACATAAGTTTATTACATATTTGAACATCACTGTACAAGTAAAGCGTGAGCCTAATTTGATCCCAGATAATCCTCCCAAAATACTTCCACAGAAAATTTTGAAACAAGTAAATAAATGAAAAAAATGTCTAAATAAATGAATAAATCAATATTTATCATTTATTAATTTATTCATATTTACTTATGCCATTTTTTGTCCCATTACAGTTTTTTTTTTCAGTTGCTAACAAGCGTTTGTCCCACCAGAGTTAAGAGTTTTTCAAAACTCTAAACAGAATTAGCACAGCATCGATCTTTTGTGGCCATACCATTCACACATTTCATGTTGTTTTCACATAATATGCAGTCAGTGAACACGCAGTGAACACCTTCCAACAAAATTATGGATTGTTTTTGTATTATTTATGAATGCTAACACACAACATCCCACAATAGCAAAAACAATATTCCAAACCTTAGATACGGTATAAAAACCTCTGCTTCTGCAATGATATCAGTTCAAAAACAATATATCTCAGCTGATAATAAACAAACAATTGAATAACTGACACAGCTAATTTATGTTGGGTAAATTGGGCCAACCACAGCTGATTCCAGTCTGGCTTAGACTAAGTGGCAGGGGTTAAAAGGAGGACTTTGAGGAGTAATGTTTTCGGAAACAGAAAAAGACAAACACTGTAATGTCTGGATGAGGCAGGGTAAGAGCAAGGGGCCCAGGGAGAAGAGCAGGCCCAGTGAGTCTCTCCTTGAAGCCAGGGATGCTGGCTGCAGGGACATCACAGTTGATAATTGCTAATGGGTGGGTCCAGCATACCAAGCAGTTTTATCCCAGATGCATCGCCTTGGACAATATCAGATGCAATGTTCATGAAAACATATGGTCTAACCCTGAAGATCGCAGGGATTAGATACAGTGATTTTGTGCTTTTTTTAGTTCATCCCCTTTTTATCTGGGCTTTTTGCTGTTTTTTTTTTTTGTTTTGTTTTTTGTTTTGTTTTTTTGTTTTGTTCAGAATGCTCTTGTGTGTTTCATAGATATTTTGTTCACTGTCAGCAATACTGTAAAACTTTTTCTGTTCTATCATATTGTTAACTGTATTTCTACTGTACCTCCTGTAGTAAACACATGCTTTTGAATGTGAACATTACATGTGGACATAGTTCCCAAATAATTTAGTGTAAAAACAGTGTATTGCATGTCTTGCATGCAAATACCTGTAAAACTGAAGAATAAAAGTCTATGCAGTTTTTGTAATGTCAGCAACAGCCAGTATTTTAAAACCTGGTATACTTTGATTGACTGCATGTACCTTGTGAAGTGAAAACAAGTGTTATTCTTTGACAGAATAATTTCATTTGAGTCAGATTTCCAGTGTTTTGGCAAAGTTGGTGTGTGCAGAGAAAAATGTGTTCTATTTTGAATGTGTTTTTTAGAAGATAATTATCCATCTAGCCAATTGTGAATTTGAAATATGGGTAAGCAATTGTTTGCGATTGGTCTGATTCATAAGGTCTGCTGCGCTCCCACCCTTCATCTCCCCCGGTAGCTTGCCGTGATCGTATAGTGGTTAGTACTCTGCGTTGTGGCCGCAGCAACCCCGGTTCGAATCCGGGTCACGGCAGGGATAAATCCCTGACACGGCTTGGGTGGATCTTTTTTTCCAGTTATTTAGGCTATAATCAAAGTGATAGGTAGGCATGTCTTCACATTTGACACAACTTAAACATATTTGCATTATCATATTGCCAGTGCTAATTCAGTTAGGATTTCCGATTACATCATTTTCGCTGACAACATTCGCTGTAACAATAAGTCTTCCTTTCATTAGCTTGGGAATATCTCAGATGTCCAGGTGCCTGACACTTACCACTGAAAACCAGTCACCATTTCAAAATATATGCCCTTCGGTCTTTTATGTGGGGCGGTATCGTTTTGTTAGAGACACGTTTTCATTGGTGGTTGCGTTCATGTTCCGAGACAAGAAGCCAATCAACGGTCCTGTCGATCGCATGTGCTGCTAGTTCTATGCATACCGTCCTCTGATTGGTCTTTGTTCCACCAGTGACCACCCCAATATTACCGAGTTCCGTGTTTGGGTTAATTTGTGCTGATATGGCTCATAGAGTGAAAACTGTTGACTGCTTGAACCTAACTAGATTTATTTTTTGCTTTTAAAGAAATAAAATACTGGTTATAAATTCATTTGGAGGCATTTCTGGTAAGAACAAACACACACGACTTACTTCTTTCCGTCTGCATTTGAAGTTTGAGCAGTAAATCGACCTTTGTTAAATTTATTTGTAAGTTTGAAATCAAAGAAACTATTTGTGGTCATGTGTATAAAGTAGGTTATAATGCAGTGTAAATAACTCATTAAACTGAGGTATGAGTGATGTAGTAGCCTTGTTATTAAATAGTTGAAATCACTTTATTTAAAGGTTCAAGTGGATGATAATGAATGGTTTTTATTTACTTTTCTTGAAGCAGATGATGGATGCCACAACAGTAAACCAAGTTCTTCATCCCTACTGGCCACGAGATCTTTTGATTCCCACCTATGTTGCCAATGACCGGTCTATGTCAGAGATCCTGATGTTCCTGTTTTCTGTGTCTGGGCTGTTCCTGCTTGTGACCTGGCTGATTTCTGGCCGGAGAGGAGCCACTGGAAGGTTGAGTACTTGGAGGCGTCTGGCTGTGTGCTGGTTTGCTGTTTGTGGTTTCATCCATGGTGTCATTGAAGGCTGGTTCTCTCTGTATTATGCCATCATTCCAGGAGACCAGAGTTTCCTGTCACAGCTGTGTGAGTATGGACAATAGAGACATTTGAGTACACAAACTAAGGTTGCTTTATTAATGAATACTTTAAATTCTCTCCACAGGGAAAGAGTACTCCAAAGGAGACAGCCGATATGTAATGTGAGTAACTTTTTTCCACACAACAGTTGAACACTGACATAAACAGGAATCCTCAACTTATTGCTTGTGCTCTGCAAATTTGTTTTCTACCTAGAGCGGATAATTTCACTGTGTGTATGGAAACTGTGACTGCATGGTTATGGGGCCCTTTCAGCTTTTGGGCTGTGTATGCCTTACTAACCAACAAGCCCTACAGATTTGTTCTGCAGCTTATCATTTCATTGGGTAAGTGAGTCTTTGCTGCAGCTAATATCAGAATCTTACCACTGATTATGTTTTTAACAGAGACTGTCTGGTTTACAGGTCAGCTGTATGGAGCAGTACTTTACTTCTTCACTGAGCACAGAGATGGTTATTCCCACAGTGAGTTGGGACACCCCATCTATTTCTGGTTCTACTTTGTGTTCATGAATGTGTTGTGGATCGTCATACCTTTTTTGCTCATTGTGGATTCATGGAAACAGCTTTCAGCCGCACAGACCAACACTGATATCATTAAGTCACAGAAGTCTAAAAGGAACTGATAACCCGAAGAGATAAGGCTGTGAGACTCAAACTAGGTGAACACATCAAGGAAACCATATTTTTTGTTGTTGTGGGACACAATTTTAAAAGGTTGCAGTCAAAAGATATGTTTGTTTAGAGCTACAACTGTTTCAGCTGTCAGTTTACTGCTTTTTGCTTGTTGGATGATTTCCATTTTACATCTGAATATCCAGTCATAGCCCTCAATCAACTTCCATTTTAAACTTCAAGGTTTTCCATGTTTGAATGACAACACAATGATAAGTTTTGTTCAGTTCTTGTGAACCATTGCAGGGAAATAAAAAATGTTTTCTCATATTCACTTTGTATTCTTATTTTTATATGAATAATTATAAATGAAGTAGCTACATAGCACATGTTACAAACAAACTGGGCCTGCATTTATTTTTATTATACCTTAAATATATATATAGACAGCTATGCCCTGCCAGTAATCAGATACCCTGCTGGAATAATAAGCTAGCCAATGGAGGAAATTCACGCCACAGATGTAAAAACTCTGAAGTTGCTCACCATGCACGGGAGGTTCCACCCTAAGTCCAGTATCCAGAGGCTATACACTAAGCGCAAGGAGGAGGCAGAGGATTAGTGAGCATCAGAGCCACTATCTAAGATGAAATATCCAAGCTCCATGGCTATGTCAGGAAGATAGCCCACAAGATGGAGTGCTTAGTGAGTGTCTCACTAAGAACCCCTGTATGGGATGTACCACTGACAGATAGCTGAAGTGGCTGATATGAGCAAATCCTACCAATGGCTGGAGAGGGCTTGACTGAAGAACAGCACAGAGGCACTCATCATGGCGGCACAAGAACAGGCCTTGAGCACCAGAGCAATAGAGGCCCAGATATACCATACCAGGCAAGATCTCGGGTGCAGGCCGTGCAAAGAGGGCCCTGAAACAGTCCAACACCTAACAGCAGGATGTAAGATGCTGGCAGGAAAAGCATACATAGAACGCCATAACCAAGTAGCCGGTAAAGTGTACAGGAACATCTACGCAGAATATGGACTGGAAACCCCGAGGTCAAAATAGGAAGCACCTCCCAAGGTGATAGAGACTGACTGAGCCAAGATCCTGTGGGACTTCCAGATACAGACAGGATATTGTAATCGCAGACAAACAGCAGAGCAAAGCCGTTGTGGTAGATGTCACTATCCCAAGCGATACCAACATCAGAGAGAAGGAACACGAGAAACTGGAGAAGTACCAAGGGCTCAAGGAGGAGATAGTAAAAGCCTGGAAGGTGAAGGCAACAGTGGTGCCTGTGGTCATTGGGGCACTCGGGGCAGTAACCCCCACACTGGAGAAGTGGCTCCAACAGATCCCTGGAGAAACATCAGACATCTCACTCCAGGAGGGTGCAGTCCTAGGAACAGCAAGTATACTGAGCAGGACCCTCAGCCCTCTGGTAGATGACCCGAGCTTTAAGAGACACAATACTGCCCAGGGTGGGCGAGAGAAGTTAATATATATATATGTATATGTATATATATATATATATATATATATATATATAGTATATATATATTTTTTTTAATCTTTGCAGACTGATTTTATATAAAGATTCCGTTGCTTGTGGGTCTTCTCTTTGTTGCTCCAATATGATGTATAGTGCATGGCTTGTCCTTCACTAATCTATTCAGAGTTTCCTAGCGGTCAAAACAACTACTACTCGCCGAAATAGCTCAGTTGGGAGAGCGTTAGACTGAAGATCTAAAGGTCCCTGGTTCGATCCCGGGTTTCGGCATTTTGACAGGGGGAAGGACTATGTCGTACACGTGCTTCAGCGTCCAGGAACCACTACCTTCCTACATGTACTGAATACCTCACAACTTGTGAGTACTGACACCTAGTGGTCGTTAGCGGTACTACAGTTATACACACAATTAGCGCTCACTGTTCTCCAGTGCAAAAATACAGACCACCACCATGCTCTCATGAGCTTTTATCACCCAAGTAAACTCAGTGCATCCACCTGATAGCGTTTTTGGCATGCAATTTTACTATTTGCTTACATTCAGGGAGCTCACATACAAGCTGCAGACAATCATGACTACACTGATGAGCTGAGAGTCTCTGTAGAAGCTCCCTTTCACTTGAGAAACATGACAAACTGTTAAACAGACAACAATGCTAGATCTTCAGCTAAACATTTTGCTGAGTCTAAGTCCCAACCGTGCGTTTGTCTCCTTCTCTTGATTTGAAATGTTCTTCAGTGCCTTCAAAGCAGCAGGTGATTCTGGCTGTAGCTCCAGCAGTTTCCTAAATGCCTGTTTGGCCTCCTCCAGCTCATTCACCCGATGGCAGGCTTGGCCCAGACGATACCAGGCTTTAGCTCCACCTGGTTCCAGCTGAGTAGCTTTAGCTGCGTTAGCCTTAGCCCACTCCGGTTGGTTCAGTTTGAGCTGGCACAGTGACAGGTTTGAGTGGAGCTCTGCTTTGGTAGTTTTGAACTCCTGGGGTGAAGGAAGGTTGTGTGTTTTATCACACGAGTCTGTGTCCCTCTGCTCCTCCAGCTCTTGTTCTCTTTCTTTTGTCTCTCTCTCTCTCACATGGCCATAGAGAGTGATGAGAAGCTTTAGTGCCCGACTGTAGCTATCTGCAGCTCCCCATACATCTCCACTCCTGAATCTAACTCCACCTCTCTCTTTGTGAGACTTAACCCACTCCCACTTGTCACCAGGTAACATCTCCCAGGATTCCTTGCCAGGTGTGAAAGCTTTGAGTTCAACTGTGGAGCATAAAGGTGTGTTTTTGTCATCTGATAACTTTTCCACTGGAGAAATTAGTATCTGGGGAGCAAAGAACAATAATCAGAAAGACTGTACTTTAAATAAATAATAAAATAATAATTAGAATCAGAATCAGAAATACTTTAATAATCCCCAGGGGGATATTGCTTTTGTCACAGTACACCAATGCAAATACAGTAAAGAGAGGAGATAAATAATAGATAAAATAAGTAAAAATAAAGAGATAATACACAAGTATTTACTATATACAACACAAATAGTAGTTGAAACACTATATTTAGTAGCTAATTCCCCTGCACTCTTACCTCACATTTCTCGCCCGCTCTCATCCCCTCCACACATGCTTCTGTAATGTCACACTGACCCTCTCCTAGTCTAATGGTTATCCAGCGACCCAAAGGGACCTGCAGCACAGAGTCATGACATCTGGGGAAGGCTGTGACATCTGCAACTTCTGCGAGTGCCTGGTCAGGTTTTTCATTCCTGTTTTCCGACACTATGCTGTCTGCTTTATCCTCCTCAGATTTGAGCTGCACTCTGACTTGACACAGTGACCCCAACCTTGGACTGTAACCGAGGGCTAGGGGGAAAAAACAGAGAAACAAGATGTGTGGTAGTTCAGACGACATGAAGATAATGTTACTTAATTCTGAGTGAGAATTCATCATTTATATTAAAAGGGGAAGCAGCAGGAAAACCTCATACATGCATCATCTGTATGACTGGGGGCTGGCTGCTGACTCCTCTCTCCTGTTTGCGTTTGCTGGACTTTCCAAAGACCTCTGGGGCACACCGATATCCAGGAAGAGACATCACCAACATCAGATTGATTATCAATGCCATGCAGCATTTCTGGAGGATGACCAGGATTCATTCCTAAATTAAAAAGATTAAAGATGCCTTACTGCAACAACAGAATTTCCCCTCTTGAGGTCAATACAGTATCGTCTTCTTTCAAATCTTCTGCAACACTTCATTTCACATTATTGCCTATTTTATTGTAGTCTCATTTGTCCCATTGCGTAATGACGAAACGATAGTTGAAAAAGCAGCTACACTTTCCTTAGTAGTTCAATGTTATTGCTGTTTAGGATAAAATTTACGTAAAGAAACAGACACTACGAAGATCTCCAGCGTCCAGGATGTCACAACAGATACAAAAACCATCCTGACCAGCACCGAATAGAAAGCTGTGACATCGACCCAAAACACCTGAATTAAACTAGACTAGTTTCATACAATGCCAAATGTTTTTAAGTGTAAAGCAGAGATTAAATAATGTAAACACACCTTACCTCTCACTAATGTCCAACAACAAGACAGAGCAATCGCTTTATGAGTCTTTTCTTCTTGGTGTAAAATAGCGGATCACTATCCTAACTTCAAGGCGTATAGCGCCACCTACTGTACCGGGGTTTTAGAGGCTTCTCTGGAGGAATTTTTGATGCAAAAGGTTTGTGCATCTGTAACATGTAATTTGTAGTTGTGTAGAAGTAAATGTGAATTTTGAAGTAGTTTGTCGAAATTTTAGCTCCAGCTGAATCTGTTTCTCTTTTCTGCAAACAAACAGAACTATAGCAATCTGAACTATGTTTGTGTCATTACTGTGCCAGTCAGATTGTCATGATGAAAAAGATTCTTACAGTTGAAAGTCATAGCAGTAAAAATGTCCACGCCACTGCTGCTATAAAGGACAGGAAGGAGTTCTAGTGAAAGCAGTGTTGCTCAGTGTGATGTGTGTGGTCAAACCAGCTCATGGATTTAATAAGTACAATCCTGTTTTGAACTTCATTGCTTGACTTCATGCATGATTCAGCCGTGTAGGTAGAAATGCCCCCACTTCATAAAAGAGCGCTGAAATAATGTTAGTTTTCAAGACAAATAAAAGTCCAGTTAGTAGAAGTCAACTTTGTGGTTCAAATAAATGGATTTGTTTATGTTTTTGTCCGGCCATGATAAGGAAACAAACATGGAAACGTATTCTGATGAAGCTACAGTATGTAGGCTACTACACAAATAACTATTTAATGACTCTTCACAATGAGTGGCCTTTTAAGAGTGTCTAAATTTATTTGGTAATTCTTTGACTCTTCTACCACAACATTAATTCTTCATTTTTGTTTAAAAAATGTTTTGCTAGTGAATTCAGTCTCAGTTCTTTATGGCACTAAAACTTTAATCCTCAATCTGAAGGAATTCATTCATAAACACATGATTATTTGAAATTCCTGTTTATTGCCCTGAGAGATACAGCTGTGAAAAATGTTGTGCCTCTTTATGATTGTAGCCTAATATTAATCTTATATATACGATAGCACCACCCTCAGTTTTCAATTAGAGTTTGTCAATATTCCAGTTTAATGACAGTATCTGGATTCAGTTGCAGTAATTTTATGTTGTACTTAAAGAGGAAAGGTGCTGTGCTGTAGACTGACAGTCTGTGGAGCTTTTTCTACCAACTGCAGCTCTGCACTTTTTCTTGTTTTGTGACTGACAAGCTTTACACTGACTGTTGTGAAATATGTTGGTCAGAGGCAAAGTTCACACAGCAGTTTGGAGGATGTTTTTGAACACATGTTAGCTTTTACCTTTTACTTCATTTCATTCATTCACAGTTTTAATTTGACCAAATGTCGGATATTTGGGGGTGGAAAAGTGGAACTGCTTTCAACCAGCTGAGAGCCAGTCTATTTCAGGATTATATTAGGATTATATTCAGTGTGTATGACTGACATCTTAACACTTCTAAAAGTAGTCATCTAAAAAAGAATCAGTTCATCTGCACAAACTTTTCTCTTTCCCTGTTGTATCTGTGATTTTTGACTGTTAACACTGAGAAAGTGGCTGAATACTAATGTTAGCTGTGATCTGATGTTAGTTAAATATGACTACATCTCCTCTCTGGTCATCTCTGTTTTTACTCTGTGTGGCTGCACGTCAACCAGGGAGCCTTCAAATGATCACAGACCGTCAGAATATTGAGTTTAAAGCCTGAAACACCATCATAATAAATAATAAAGTTCAGGTTATTAGATAAGCTGTGGGGATATGGTCACCTGGAAAACTGGTCTCTATACTAGGATGCTTGTTTTTACAATTAATTAATTGGATGAATTTTATGTTTTTAGAGGTAAAAAACTGTCTGCTTCATGTGTGTCAAATAGATAAAGACAAGAAAGAAAATTTTTCTTCAATTTTAGGCTGTCTTATTTTTCTTTTCAAGACTTACATCAGGAGAAAAAAAATCATCTTTTTCTGAGACAAAAAGAAAATATCAAAAGTCTTAATGACAGCTATACATCTCCATCTGCTGGTGTAAAAGTAATATTACAGAATTCCAACTGGCGTCATCTTAACCCGAGTCTGATATGAACAAAAGTGAAAGTAAATTTTGACATTGTGGAGACGCCATTACAGGGTGTGAGATCTCAGCTGAAAAACACAGACTCGGAGAACTAAAAGACACCTGGAGAAAGAGCAGTCATTCGGTGAGTCTCACAGATTAGAGAAACGATAAAGAGCAAAAAACAATGTCTGAAAAGGCTCTTCTGGAAGGTTTTCTGAACTGTCACGTGTGTTCAGAGACTTTCAGAGATCCTGTGTCTCTGCACTGCAACCACAGCTTCTGTTCAAGCTGTCTGCAGAAATTCTGGGAACAGACTAAGAACAAAAACTGTCCCATCTGTAAAAGAAGATCTTCAAAGGACAGTCTACCAGTCAACTTTACTCTGAAGGAACTGGCTGACTCTTTTTCTGGAAGGCTGAAAGTTGGATCATCTGAGACAGTAAAAGCAGAAAAGAAGGTGAAGGTGGTGTGTAGTAAACATCAAGAAGAGCCCAAACTGTTCTGTAAAGATGAAGATCGAGCTGTGTGTCCTGTCTGTGAGTTTTCTCTTCACCAGACTCACACTGTGGTTCCTGTAGAAAAAGCAGTCAGAGATCTGAAGGAGCAGCTGAAATCTGACTTAAAGTCTCTACAGGACAAGAGGGACAAACACAAACAAGTGGAGAAAACATACAATGAAGTGATTCAACACTCCAAGAAGCAGCTGCTGTCCACAGAGAGACAGATCAGAGCAGAGTTCAACAAGCTCCACCAGTTCTTGAAAGAGGAAGAGGAGTCCAGACTGGAGGCTCTGAGGGAGGAAGAGGAGCAGAAGGGGAAGACTATCAGCAGAGAGATGAAGAGGATTCAGGAGCAGATCTCCTCTCTGTCAGACAGTATCTGTGCTGTTGAAGAAGAGCTGCAGAAACACACCGTGGCCTTCCTCAGCAGTTATAAAGTCACTCAGAGCAGAGCCAGAGTCCTGAACTCAGAGTCCGATCCACAGCTGGTCTCAGGAGTGCTGATAGATGTGGCCAAACACCTGGGTAACCTGTCCTTCAGAGTCTGGGAGAAAATGAAGGAGAGAGTCCACTTCAGTCCAGTCATTCTGGACCCAAACACTGCAAGCAGGTGGCTCTATCTGTCTGATGATCTGACCAGTGTGAGAAATGGAGACACAACGCAGCAGTTTCCTGATAATCCAGAGAGATGCACCAATTATAACACTGTTCTGGGCTCTGAGGGTTTCAGCTCAGGGAAACACAGCTGGGAGGTGGAGGTGGGAGACCATCCAGTCTGGACTGTGGGTTTGGTTAAAGAGTCAGTTGACAGAAAGGGGGAGATATGTACTTCACCAGAATATGGATACTGGTGTTTATTTCATCGCAGTGGAAAATACACAAATGGTTTTGGTGTCAGTTTGAAGAAGGGTCTCCAGAGGATCAGAGTCCAGCTGGACTGTGACAAAGGGGAGGTGTCCTTCTATGACCCTGAAGATATGACTCACATCTACACTTACAAAGACACTTTCACTGAAACTGTCCTCCCATATTTTGAAATTGGACAGTCTGGAGATGCTAAAATCCTCCCAAGTGATCTTTCTCTGTGAGGTTCGGTCATGTTCAGAAATGTGATTGAAGTCGACTCTAAAATGCCTCATGATAACACAACACCCTGAACTCATCATCACTCTCATCATTCAGCTGTTCTGGATCTTCATTATTATTAATTTCCTCTTTTATGTTGAAATCAAACTTGGTTTGGTGTTTAAGGGTCACTGTCATATTTTAATCCAATAATACTGAGAACAAAAACACTTTTTTAAATGTCAATGAGAAATGAACAATCCACAATGTGGACAGTGAAAAAGTTCAGACATTTTTACAACCTCAGCATCAGTCTGGATCACATGAGAAAATTGAGTCAAATCAGGTTTACTCAGATGAAGAAAAGTTCATCACAAATCTGTGGTTTCTAATTCTTTATGAGATATTTCAACTTCATCAAACATCAGTTTTTGTGGGGGTAGGATTTCTTATTTTCCCATGAGTTATTTTGATCATGTTTTTTGTGTTTCTTTTGTCCCTCAACAGACCAGATTTGTTGTAAAGAACTGATGTATTTCTACTGTCAGAAAACTGAGATCTAAACCATCACATCTCAAACCTGTGCACTTCAGTTTGTTTTTTTTGATCATGAAAAATGTGCTACAGGTGGGTTTTAATCCTCTTATGATAAGCCTGGTTAAATTGACAGAGGTATTTCTTGCTTTGATTGTATTATTTTACTCTGTCATGGATTTCCTGAATATTTTTCTGATGTTATTTCACTTCATTAGAGATACAAACTGTTCCTCAATCTTGTTTTATTCCTTTCAGTCAAACAGCGTTGTATTGCTGCTTTAATTTGATAATCTTTTCATTACTGATTCCTTTAATTTTGGGGGGAAAGTGTTGAAATGTAACTTTACACAATTCTGCCTTTAATTTTTATCCTTCATAGAGTGAAGACAGTCATTTACATGAATGTTTAATGTCTTGTGTGTACTCAGATAAAGTAACTCAGAGCATCTTTTATAATGAAATCAACTTTATCTTGTAAATCTAGATATAACTGAGTCACGTGAAAATATTGTGTTGTTTGGGAAATTGGGTACGAGGTTCAGTCTGGTTTCTTTGTATGTGACTAAAGTTGGTCTAATTATAAAAAATGTCACATAAATAAATCTTATTACTCGATTTAACAAACAACCCATTTTTTTGATTAATCAAAAATCATTACAAATAAAAAGTACAAAATTGATCAACTCAAGTGTATTTTTTTTACTGTTACTAGTTTAAGGATAGTTGAATAAATCATGTACCAATAGCACAAAGAAGAAAATCGCTGCTAACATGAGGACTGAATCATGATGTGTTGAAGTGGAGTTGTACAGATTTATAGATTTTCAAACATTTAAAGACGGTTCATCCTCAAAAAATGTCCTAAATCTTTGTTCTAGAACTTCACCACACAACTGAAAAGGCAGTGAAAGCATAACAAACCAGT